TATGCTCACATACAGACTACAAAACCGGATACTGTTGGTAAAACAAACAAACAAAACCCCACAACCTTTTTTGAGCTCGAGATACCCTACAAAACCGGATACTGTTGGTAAAACAAACAAACAAAAAAAAAACCCACAACCTTTTTTGAGCTCGAGATACCTAAGTCTCTTCACTTTGGCTGTACTTTCATAGAAACAAAATGTACTGCTTAAAATATGCAGAAAATAGGGGTTTTTTTGCAGTGTATCTGCACATCCAAACTGAGCATGCTCCAAGTGCTACTGACATCATTTTCCAGTTTTCATAAATAAAATAGATTGTTTTATATTTTTCCACTTCTGCTATCACTGGGGACTGTAATTCCATTTCAAATGCAGCTCTGCTGAGAGCAAAAGACAATTTCTTCTCAGAGATTGGATCACATTCAAGTAATGTAAACTACAAGAAGCTTTTAGCTGTCTCAGCACACAATGTAGCTTATTTATTATAGTGATAAGTAATACCTGAGAAGTAAAATCAAATTTCACTTTCACTCATTGTTCTGAATCACTTGCAGATTTCAAGGAAAAAAAATTGTAGCTGTGAATGTTCTTTCTACATGAGCTAGTCACTCAGATGGTTTAACTGCTTCAAGTACCTGAGTATTAAGTATTTCTATTTTAAAAACATCTTTTGTGACTGAATTGGACAACTGAGTCAAGAGTACTGACTACATTTTAGTTCGGTGCAGTAGCAATTCACTGATGGATTTTATTAAAAATATAGCTAAGGGAAATATTTCTTAATGGTTTTCCATAAGCTTACCTACAGAGGCAGGTATGTTCTTAAAATGTGTAGGCAAAAGGATAATTGTATGGATTTAAAATAATTTTGCTTTTGTTGAGTTTTGGTTTCTAAAAATTGCCAGTCTTTTGTTCTTTAGGAAAGAGAGGGAAGCTGATATCTGAAAGATGTCTAAGCCATGCTCCTTCTCAATCAGAATTCTGGCTGATTCTTGTCCTTACCAGTCCAGCACATCTGGAAAGTGCTCAACAGAACTTTTTCAAATACTTGATACTTCAGTTATCAAGAGTGGTTGCTTAGTAATTGAAATCCCACTGTCATGCTTAAATTGCAATTACTGGTGAAATTGTGCCTGCTGCAGTGTTAGGCACCTTCCTGGAAGGCTGGGTTGCAAGGGTGGAACTTCTAATTCCACCAAATTCCCAAATTCAACTTCAAAGCTGTTCCCAAGGAACTTGCTGCTCCTTGGGAACAGCTTGTTCTCATGTTTTACTGAGAAGCTGGGACAATTTACAGTCCCTGTATTTCACAGCACTAGGATGGTGTGATCAAAGCTCCAAGTGCAGGTGTGTTCTTTGTGTCCAAGAAAAGCAAACTATAAAATCTATATGAAGGCTTGTTCTACATGAAAGCAGTTTGCTATTGCTAATTCAGAAGATGGACCATTTAGCAGAGCCTTGCAGTTCCTTAATGACTTTCTAATAATCCTTAAAATGTTTTTGCTGTTAGATAATGCTGCAAATCCTCCTGGTCATGTGTAGGCATGTGGGGTTTGGCTCTGTAATGCTGTTTAATACATGACAACTTCCAGATTAATGGAAGCAAACCCTCCTTGGCACATAGAGCTTAATCTTATTAGCTTACCAGAAAAAAAGAAAAGCCAGCAGAAATCCAATACTGTTACATCAGTTCAAAAAATGTTCAGTGAGAGCTAATTTGGAGCCTGCTCATTTGCAGACACTTCTAGTTTATGATTTGGCATGAAATGGCTCCAACTCATTGTACTATTTTATTTATTTAAGAAAGCAGCTGATGGAACAGCTTTGTAAAGTTACATCCCCTATATTATAACAGGCAGCTTCTCTAACACTGAGTTCTGTAGTTGGATATCAGTTAGAGGTAAATTTTCCTCCTCCTTTCTAGGCTGTGGTTTGAATGACTCTCCTGTGGGACTGGCTGCATACATCTTAGAGAAGTTTTCCTCTTGGACTGATATGGAATTCCAGAACCTAGAGGATGGAGGGCTAGAAAGGTAAGCCCTTTCTCCCCTGCTATTTTGCATGAGGTGACTGAGCCCAGGGTCACAGCTGAGGAGGTTTCTCTGATGTGGTCACCTCACACCTCAGGGAGCCTGCAGTGACCACAGCTGGTGCAGGGCTGCACTCCAGCACACAGAGAGGCAAACAGGCCATGGAGGCTGATGGATTCCCTTCCCACTTCCATCTCCTAGGAAAGAAATACACCCTGCAACTCCTGGATATTAAAAACTGACTTATGGGGAAGAATCTCATTAGGGCACAAAATCCAAAAGTTTAACGCACATTAAGATGCTGGCAGCTCATGATTCATTGTAATACTAACAATTAACTCCCTGTGAATTGGCTTCGGATTGATTGTTACAGCTTCATCTACCTACCATTTGCTAATAAAGGATTATGTTTAGTGTGCAACAGAAACCAGAGATGAAATCCTCTTTGAGAACTACCTGGCAGGAATGGAGAGAGGGGGCATGCTATGGAAAGGCCCAGATTTGCATGGAATGTTTGCCCTACATACAGCCAATAAATTTATATGAAACATGCACTGTTTACAGCACAAGCTGGTGTGTGAGGGCTCTGTTGAGGGCTCACAGTAGCATTTCAGATTATCATTAATAAATGGCACAAGCTGCTGCCTGTGCTGTTCTGCTCCCACCCTCCCAGTCTGTGGACAGGAGACACCATGCTGGAGCATAAGTTGCTTGTTGGAATCTGTCTTCCATGTAGGAGTTAAAATGTGACTTCCCAGTTTATGTCTGAAAGCCTTTTGCATCCTTAATTGGTCACTGGCAGACAGAGGGGGAGTAATAACTTCACCTCTCCACTCTTAACCACTATTTATTTCTATTTTTTTTTCCCTTACAACCAAACCAAAGTCAAGTCCCTGCTAAAGTGATGCAAATCATTCTTCAGTTCTAATTAAGCAATCTCTTGGGTTTGCCTTTTCAGGAAGTTCAGCCTGGATGACCTGCTCACCAATATCATGATCTACTGGGTGTCAGGCTGCATTGTCTCCTCCATGCGTTTCTACAAAGAAAACTTGCAGAAGGGGATAGGCACACAGAAACATGAAAAGTAAGTGTGGCTTCTTCTCCTTAAATATTTTGCCCTGATTTTAATTTTACAGTTGCATGCCTTATAGATTCCTGAATGCTGAAGAAAAACACTGCTCTCACAGTATTCCTCTGCAAGACAGAGCAGGTAGCTGATGTGCTTGGAAAACACTGCTTAGGTAGGAATCCTGAGCCCTGAGTGAGGAGATCTGACCGGAGGCACTGCTTGAGGGCCTCCCATTCTTGGTGTAGCCATGTACTTCCCCATTTTATTTCAGTTACTAAATCAGTCTGTGACTGAGTCACACAGTCAGTTTGGTTTAGTTTAGTTGGTTGTAGTTTTAGTACTTTTCTGTACACACTTTGCCTCTTTCTGCAAGAAAGCTTAAGTCCTTTGGAAGCAGCTTCAGCCTGCTGACAAACAGCATCATTGAGGAGTCAGTGAGACTGATGTGCCTGCTGCTGCTCAGACTCTTCAGACAGCAGCTTGGTTGCATGTACTTGTGTCAGCCTGAGTAAGAGTGAAGGCTTAAACCTGCCCAGAGGTATTTTCACCCACAGCTTAGTGCCATGGTGTTTATTTAGCTGTGAAATGATGCTCCCAGGAAGCTGACTCAGTTCCTGAAGCTGCTGTGGCTATGCTGTGGGCAGTATCTTGTCTGGTTCTGCCTGCATTAGATGAGCTGTGTGAGCTTCTAAGTGCCTAGAGGACAGTCTCAGAGTCCTGTGTAAAGTTCTGACCTCAGCCTCCCAGTGGCTACATGCCCAACACTTTTTGTGTCTACATTTTAAAGTCTGTCACTTCTGACAATGCAGCTTATGTGTATGGGATATTCAAACCTAGAAAATGTGGCTCTTAGAACAAGCACAGATCATTCACACCCCTCACATCCAGTTGCTTCCTTACACTTCCTAATGTGAAGAATGTTTTGTAGTGTGCATTTGTGCCAGTTAAAAGCAAGAGCTATTTTACAAGTATAGTCCCACATATAGAAATGTAGCTTCTGAACTAGTCTATATTATCAGTATTCCTCTCTTCTCCCCCCTATTAAGTGATTATTCTCCAGTTAACCACTAAAACATGCCAAGCCTGGCAGGACATCTTCTCTGTAAATCTCTCTCCACTCTTATAAAATTGTGTGCTTGCCCATCAATTTGAACCCTGTGTGCAGCAAGAGGAAATTTGCTGCCCACCAGCTCCTAGGGCTCTCGTCTCCCTTCCATGCTTCTGAGCCTCAGGCCCTGGACCCCCTGCAAAATTTCCTTGATATCACTGTATGCAAAAATAAGAGAGGGGGTTTTTTCTTTTTTTTCCTCAGGAATTATAGTGTTGTCTTCAGTTTTAGGATCTGGAAGTCAAATTTTTAATTCCAAACAGGAGCTTGCCCAACTGTTCGGGAACATTTCCTTGGGACTTTTGATTTGTTGCAGATTTAAGTGTTTGGAAGATGACAGTGATTCTCTCTCCTCTCTCAGGCTCACAGTACAGGTACCCACTGGCATTGCTGCCTTCCCTAATGAAATCCTGCACATACCCCAGGCTTGGGCCAAGAAGAAATACACCAACATTGTCTCCTTCCACTTCATGCCTCGAGGTGGCCACTTCGCAGCTTTCGAGGAACCTGAACTTCTTGCTAAAGATATTCTGCAATTTGTTGACAAAGTAGAGAAAGAGCAACTCTGGAAAAAGAAAGGGGAATAACTTCCCTAAGAAACAGCAGGGTAATTACTTCTAGCTTAGCACTTGTACAGGGCTTACTAAGTCTGCTGTAATCCACGTAATTAGATTTTATTGTTGACCAGATGTGAGCAAGGACAGAAAGAAAAATACAGTGTATCTTCATGAGATACTGCCATGGGGACCAACAGATTTTGGGCTGTTTTTTGTTTGTTTGTTTGTTTTTTTTTTTGTTGTTCAGATAGGCTAATAAAGTAGCATGAAGAGTGCTTGAGTAACTTCTGAAACATGTTCTGTAGGATTTTTGACTCTTGCTTTGAGATTGAAAAATAGACCTCACAACAACTAACGTACCTAGTAACAGTAAAATTGTTATGAAAGGCCTTTTCTTTTCATGGCAGCAGTAAAATTTGATTTGCTGTGGGTATGAAGTTCCTCACATAAAGAGTAGGGAGCAGTCTGGCAGGACCCAACTTGCATGAGTGCATCAATCAATCAGCATTGATGAGCTACAGTACCTTTAAACTGCCTTCTGCTGGCTTCCTTTCTCTTCCAGCCTGGGCTCTGAAGCAGCTTCCTGGCTGTGAAGAAGCTGGACTGCCCTGTGCCAGGCTCCTGGGATATGTGAGGAGCAGCTGACACACACAGCCCAGGAGATGGGGCTGGGTAGGAGTAATTGCAGCCCCAGCTACCTCTGCACTGAATTTGTACTCTTAAATCATAGCCCTAGGTAGGCTCAACAAACTGTGGCTTTGCACTGCTTTGGCAGGGTGTTATAAATACCTCTTACTAAAGGATAAAAATATTATTAATTCAAAATTAAAAGAAAAATGAATTAAATTTTTGGTAACTCCTGTGTGATTCTTTTAATTCTTTTAACAATGGAGATTTTGCTTGGCACCAGCTAGGAGAATCATCAGCTCAGAACCTATCAATTCTGTACTCCATCTGCCACAGAGGTCAGATTGAAGGCAAATTGCTCAAAGAAAATTGAAGGGCTGTATGGCTTTACCAGCTCCTGTCCCTAGTGTGTGCAGCTGAGCTTCAAACAGGTCTTAATCCATCTCCAGATGACTGATCTTAGTGTGGTTTTGTTCTCCAGTCACTTCTGATGTCCTTCTCTACTTCTGAAAGCACAGGGAAATACAATCTATCAATAACACTTGCATGGATTAGTATTATTTCAAAATATTAATTGAAAGAGAAGCTAAGATCAGAAGCTCAGCAGATCCATGCTCCATCCCACAAGGCTTTAGACTCAAGCATACCATGCAGTTTGTTTCACAGGAGGCAATGGACTGTCCTGCTGGAGAGTCAAAATTCAAATCCTAGTGCTGAGAGCCACCACCAACCCTGACAGAAAATCATCAGGGCAGATGGGCTGTGGACCAGCCTGGGTCAGTTTTCTGAGCAGAGGTGAGACCTCTTGCTCCTTTCCTCTGCCTGCTGCACCTGGGTGCCAGTAGAGCAAGGCAGGGGAGCTCTCGGCTCTCCCTGCAAGATTTGATCCTCAAGCTGTTCTTCAGTTAAGACAGCTACTTGCTTCCAGAACAGTGGTGAGCACTAATTCCATGCTTAACTTGCAAATGCTTTCATTCAGTCAAAATTTGTCTTCACATTTGCAAAAGGTGTGTGATGCAGGCCAGTCTGTTTGGAAACTCTGGAGGAAAACACGGAATCATTCCCTTTGAAATAGACTCTGTGGAGAAGACCCTCCCCAAACTTGTTTCAGGAGCAGGATGGTGAAAGAGAGATCCTTATTCAGGAGAAATTGGCTCACCTCTGGCAGGAACAGCCTGTAAGGCACCACTGCACACCCTCCTGCACAAGTCTGTTCTGTCCTGCCCTGCACACCAGGTAATTTTCTTCAGGGTTTGATAAGCTACTGTCTGAAAGAGAGACAAATCTGGACTGAAAAGGTCTAGATTTTAGGACCTTAAAAAAGACAATTAAATACCTGATACACAGCAGTTTTTGTCCTGAATTTTGATGTCACACTTCTCAAACCTTAAGCCCACAGCTATCAGTAGCTGTTACTCATCACCTACTTACCTGCAGTTAAATAAAATGCAGTGGAATACTATGACAAAGTGAAAAAGTATGAAATTAGCTATACAGTGGCTGTAAAACCTGCCCTCAGTTCCTCTTCCTTTTTCAAAATAATCCTCTAGTTTTAGCAAAACACAGCCAAATCCACCACCTCTAGTGCAAGGTTTAACACTAATGAACTGTCTGTGAGCCAGTGGTAGTATCTGCCTCTCATCCTGTAGGGAGCAACTCCCCCAGAAACCTGAAATCTGGATTTGACATGCACCTTGAGTGAGTCCAGATTCACTTCTGATACTCTGTGGTACTGGCTACAGGCAATTTGGTACAGATAACCAGAAATAGTTTAACAGTTTTAACATCTAATAGTTTTAACATTTCTATTACATTTCTATTACTACTAGCAAGTAGCTGCATATCAGACTATTGCAATAATAATAATATTTATAATAATAATAATAATAATAATAATAATCAGTACAAAATAAGTCCCTGCTCTGTTACAGTTGTTCTTATTTATGTCCCTGCCATTCAGCCAGGGAATTTTCTCTAAAAAGGTTAAGTGTGATGCTCTTGGGCTGGCTGAGCTGTTTCTTGGGAATAAGGCTCTGAAGGAGTAGCTACAGCCTTCAGCATAACACAGAATATGGTAACACTTTGATGCTCAAAACATTACATTTTGCTATAGGGCCACTTCTTAATGAAGCACCAATTTCTGTCCCAAAGTTGCCCCAAAGTCTCTGCTCAAAAAAACTAAAACTGTCCTAAAAGCCCTGCCACATTAAGTTGCTCCAGACCATGCATTTATCCCACGCTGAAACCAGAAGTAGCTGACCTAAACCTTGCTTTTTAATTATCCAGTTATAGCTCATTAAGAGTCTCGATAAGAGGTTTGGAACCATGGAGATGCCACTGAAAATAAACAACTTGTACTCTTCCTCCCCAGCTGAAGTGCTTTGAAAAGTGTCTGCTTCTAGTATGGAAAAATACAAGTAAGGTCATAATCTTCTCATACAGCTCCAGATAAACAAACTCCCACTACAACCAAATTTGACTTCTGATTTTTAAACTGCAAACCATAATGTCCTGAAAAATCCAAGTCACCATATGCAGCCTTTGGACATCTTACACAACAAGACAGGACTTCATATACATTAAACAAAAATGTCAGGCATTACTCAGCTCGTGAATGGAAAAAAATATGAATAGAACTCACACTTTCATAGGAAAAAGGAAGTGAAACCATCATTTAATATAAAATAGGATGTGTTAAGCCTAGCATCAGAGTTAGTTCTAGATCCATGAAGGGTCCCCTAAGTCAGCTGCAATTGCTCAGGGGCAGGACTGAGGTTCAAAGCAGTCAATCAAATGTACAATTCTGTTTTACAGCAAGTGCAATACATAATATGCACTAAATGAAGATACATTTTTGTCTGCAAGAGCAGTGGAAAGAGACAGGGAATAAATCCATATTGATTTCAGTGTAGCTTATTTTAAACCACTGAGAAATGATGCTGCTTGTTTTACTTGCTGTAATAGCACTTCAAGGAACATAAGTCACACTAAAACTGTCTTGCTCAGGATTAGTTTTCCTTCATGGAAGAAATACCCTGTGCAGTGCCAGACAGCCCTGATGGTGTTATGCCAGTGCTGCTAGAAGAATTAGCCCCATTACAATTGTCAGCTGTCTTCTGGAGAGCAGATATTTATAAACAGGTCTGTGCTGAGTGGTGACAGCTCCTTCCCCTGGCTGGGTGTGGCCCAAAGCTCAGGTTTCCAAAACCCTTCCTGACTGGGTTTAAAGATGCTGAGGATGATGGTGCCCTCCCTGTGTTTAATAATGGAATGTCTGCAGTTTTGAGGACATGATGAACAAGAAAAGAGATTGAAATGATGACTTTCATCACCTTTTTAAAGGAAAGATAATCCTTTGCAGCAGGAGTTCAATCCACTGCAGGTGATCAGAGGGAGTGCAGCACAGGGAAGGGGTGAGCAGAAACACCAAGGGACAAACTCCAGTCAAGCACCCAAAGAACCAAGAGCTCTTTTTCAGCCAAGCCTGCATTGCTGGCTGGTTTTGTGTACAGACACATTTGTACCTCATGAGTTCAAGGAATTCTTGTACAGGCTTCAGGGAGCTAAGGGCCAGCCCTGCATTTTTATCTTAGTGGAAGATTTTTATCACCCCAACTCTTTTGTGGCCCATAAAGCTTTTTGCAGTCATCAGAAGGCAATTCTTAATATTTCAGAGAAACCAGAGGCAAAGAGGGTTTAAGCAATATCTCACACAAACTGAGCAGAAGAACCCAGTGCAGAACACAGATGATGCAATTCTCCTAATTTCTCTACTCATTTTCTTTTAAAAGATAGATAACTTAAATGATTCCTCTTAAAGGTGCTCAATTGATTTATTTCTCAATTTTTGCCCTTTTCTTTCCAGCAGATTCTGATTTCCCATCTCAAAAGGGAATTAAGTTTTCCTATTTCAGGAACACTTTTGAAGCTACAGATTTAAAATATAAAAGAACAAGATAACCCTACTTCATTCTCTAAATCTAGAATCCTATCATAAAGAATTTCAATGCCTGCAACCAAATTATGGTACTTAGCAATTCTTTAAATCATTTGGTTTTTCCATTTTCATCTGTGGGGAGAGCTGCTGGTTTTATTTCTCTGTCTCTGTAGATGGAGGGGAAAAATACTGATAATTTGCCTTAGGGAAAAAAAAACCTATTTAGAATTCCAATAAGTTTTGACATGGAACATCTTCACTTGAAAGAAGCAACTTACTGCTTTACATTTCAGGAAAGCAGGCTATAAAAAAGCCAATCAGTCTGAAAATCCAAGCATAAACCAGCACCAAATGCATGAAAGATTTTCATACAGAAGGGAGGCCAGCTGTGTACAAAAATACATATCTCTCAGCTCTCAGTCTTCCTCCTGTACTGCAACTTTTTTTTTCTGAAATTTCAATGAACATCTAAGATGCAGAACAGATAGGTACCCTTCTAAACCAGTCCCTAACTTCTATCACAAACCTTCACCCTTTTGGGAGGTTCACAGCCACACAGCAGCAAGGATGAGACAGCAAGAAAATCTGGCTCCTGTTTTATTTAGGAGCATCTTATGACATACCATACGTTGGACTTCTAGAATTCTATCTTCAACATCACTTTTGAGAAGAGTGCTTTCATTAATTATTAACCAGCACTTAGTTAACCACAGAGCCTGGGAGCAGATACAAAAATTTCTCTCTCTCCTTCTTGGCTATTTAAAGTCCCACCTATTTCCACTTTAAGTTGTGTTGGCTGCAGCTGAGATGCTCCATTCTAACCAGCAGGATGTGGGAAACAGAGAAAATGCCAGAACTTCACCCAAGAACCAAAAAATTATAGGGAAGAATGTTCCATTATAATGACCCAATCTTCAGCCTCTCCACTTTTAGTTGTTTCCTTTCTGTTTTTATCCTTCAGACAGCTGTCGTCAGAAAGAAAAAAAAAACAACTTCTGTACTTCTGAAATATCTGAAACAGGCACTTGCAGCTGTTACAGACAGGTGACTGTCTGAATCCTTCAAGAAGTCTTGTCTAGATATGACAGAGAAGGAATTTGCAAGACCAATTTCAGATAAGACACGTGACCCTGGCTTCATTTGGAATTAAAAGCGTGCATTTCCTCACACTGTTGCAGTTTTGAGACAATAAAGGGTGTCTTTTCTTTGTAGTCAATAGACTTGGGATAGAGCTCCCTTCTCCCTAAATCTTCTGCCTCTCATCTCACTTTTAGCAAAAGCCAGGTGAAAACTCTGTGGTCTGCTGCTGCTGGGATGAAGCAGCAGCAGACTTGAAGCCTTGTCTTCTTGAAGAGAAGGCTTCCAAAAGCAAAAGGCTTCCAAACACTCATAACCAGATTATCTGTAGAACAGACACAAGAAAGCTTCAGTTGTGCTGCCAGCATGTGTGGGCAAGCAGAGCTGGGAACTGGACCTCTGCAAAAAGAGACACAAAGAACATGGCCTACTGCTACACTGGAGCACTTGGAAACTTAGCCAGCACAAAGATCTGCTTTTGGCTCAGGATATGGGAAAAGCCCAGAGGAAAACAAAGCACAAACGTGTGCACCTCATGCAAATGAGAAATTGCAATAATTTGGGTGTTGAGGATGTGTTGTAAGAGGGCTGGAGGTGAGCCAGATGGGCCTGGCACACAGAATCCTGGCACAGAGCTCCGTGTATCCAAGCAAGCCAAGGCTTCTGAGCCTCAGCAAACCATGTAGCATTTTCCTCACTCTGGAAGAAATTCATCTACCCTGAAGTGTTTGCAGAAGTGTACCCTGTTGTACAGTACCAAATGAGCTCCATTCTTCAAAGTGTCAGAGGCTGCCCCTTCAGCTGTGTCACAGAGAATCCCATCACAGACCATGCTCTGGGGCTTCCTCCTGTGGAGGGAGAGTGTCAGCTCGTCCAGGATTCCTCCTGTGGAGGGAGAGTGTCAGCTTGTCCAGGGTTCCTCCTGTGGAGGGAGAGTGTCAGCTTGTCCAGGGTTCCTCCTGTGGAGGGAGAGTGTCAGCTGGCCCGGGATTCCTGCCCCCGGGAGCGCTGCTGGAGGTGGCTGCTGGAATGTCGGGAAGGACTCAGCGTGGGGGAGGCACTGCTCCAACTGAGCAATTCGAGGCAAGCAGCAGGAGCTGGATCCCAACAAATATGGGAGCTTCTGGGAGCCACAGTCAGCAACTCCAGCTGGGCCATTTGCTTAGGCTGCTTGCCAAAAGGTTTATAAAAAGAACAGTAAAGAATGTGCCATGGCTTTAAATACGAATTACAAATACAGTGCAGCCAATATCCACATTTGTTGAGGCTTCCATCCCTCAGCTTTTCTCTAAGGCTCAGTCAGGAATGCAAGGAGTTTCTCCTGCTGATCTAATTTTATGCCCTTACAGATATTCACCAGAATGAAGGAATGAAGTAGAGCCAGGGCAGTTTCCTAATTACTTCCAGCTTTTAGAGAGGGACCCAAAAGGTAATAGTGAAGCAAGCACAATGCTGCAAAGATGCTAAACCAGCCTATAATTTGTGTGTTGCTGTACACAGCTCTTGTGATAATTTACCAATAGGTGACCCCAGCCTTTTCTCCAACTGGTGCCTGTCCTAATACCACAGACATTTCTATGAGTTTAACTGCAACAGAGCACAGTGGCAAACAAGAATAGCAGCTACACAGTAAGTGAAGGTGATTTCCCCATCAGACACATGAACTGGTTCCACAAATGCCAACAACGACTTTTTAGCAAGATGTAACTTTCCACTACCTCAGAGGTTTTCCATATTCTATATCTGAAGCACCTTAGCATGACTGGAGTGGGTTAATTCAAGTTCAGCTTGTGCCAGCCACAAGGAATGTCACCACCAAGGTTCAGCAACCTCCCAGGCACAGAAAGGAAATCAAATCATTAAAGGAGTTTTTGTCCTCAATATGACACATAGAACCTCACAGTGAGTATCAAAAGTCATCTGTTCAAAAAAGTGAGTTACATCACAGAGCATAAAACCCCCACAGCACCAGCACAGTAAACAGGTCAAGTGTGGTAGCTGAATGATTTATTTGATTCTTCAATAAGCACACACATGATCATCCACTGCTGCTGCAGACACCTGGATGAGATGGGGTAGTGCAGCTAGAAACAATCACAGGCTTCTGATGTAATTAACACAACAAGCTGCCTCCTCCTTGTGACCGCATGTCTGTATGAAAAACTCACAGATGAGCAAAAAATTGGAGTTTTGTTGGGTTTTTTTCCTTCTTGGTTTGAACACCAACCTGGAATGGCAGTGTGTGCACGAGGTACACATCACCTCATAATGTCATGATCGCTAAAAATTGAAATGCACATACACACACACACAAACCCCTGACTAAACTGCACCACTGAAGTGAGAGTCTAAAACAAGTCTGACAAATTCATGCCCCCTCCTCCACTAGCCAAGGCTCCTCACCTGCCTTTTAAGAACCAGAATGTGCATCTTCAGCTAACATGAGTTTGTAATCAGAGGGCTCAGAGCTCCACAGGATCCTTCTTGCATCAGGCAGGTCTCATGCTCAGCACTTGTCTGAGTGCTGTTCTTGGGAAGCTGGAGGCATTCCTGCAAGACACTGAACATCTGCACACATTTATGGCACAAAATCTCCTTCAATCTCAAGATGTTGCTGCTTTACAGACATGCTAGAAAAGGTCAAAGTCAGGAAATAACAGTTTAACAACAAGCAAGGAAACAGAGGGCCAAAAGCTTATCCTACCCATAGGTTGCCAAGATTCATCCCCTAGAGAAATCCAAAAGTATTCAAATTCCTCATGGGACATACTGTCATTCTAAGGCTTGTGGCAGTGCTCTTATGAAGAGTTCATGACCATGCTGTGAGGCAGCCAGAAAAAGGACTGTTCCAACACATAGAGAAAAGAATAAATAAATCAAGACAGCCTGAAATTTTTCTAAACTCAGTGTTTTATTGCCCCGTGATTATTAGTTGCATTTTGACACATTGCACTTCGGAATAGATTAGCACCTACTACAAAATTTAAAAACTTAGTATCTTACAATTCATATAATTGGCACTATTGAAAAAACCCAGAGATCTGTCATTTTAACCCAAGACTAAAAGAGATAAAATCCTTTATCGTTGGCAGGTGAGCTTTCATTGTGGAAGGCCCTTAAGAATAGTGAACAGAAACTAAGAACCAAAATGCCCTCCAAAAATGTATAAAAACAGTATCAGATAAATCACTCCCTTCTTTACACCACTCTTTTTGCTTTGGTACCTTTAGTACCCAAGTGCACAGTTATTCCCTCATCACTTTAAAGGAAAAAAAAAAGTAACATGATCAAAACTATGCTGACTACTTTGGGTGAAAAGAGGAGAGACTCCCACACACCATTCTCAGCACCCACACAAACAGCATTTTCATCAAAAGTGGCATTGTCTCAGGATTTAACACATCCCAAGAGGTTTATAAATAATAAACATTGGGGGTTTTTAAAAAGGGAAGAATTCTTTTGAATAAATAAATGACAGCTCTAATAGCTGCATTGGCTTTGGTGACCAGTTATCTAGATGCAGCATAAGTTATCTTCATAAGGCAAGTGATGAGCTAGCAGAAGTGAAGTCCCTGAGGATCAGCATCTCCGCGTTCAAATTATTTGTTTCACAACTTGTGTAGACAGCCTGGAAAACAATCAGTCCCAAGGCATCTGCTTTTTAATCTCCCAGCACAGCTGCAGACCACACAATGAATTATTTCTGTACCTTTTCTGCAGGCAGGAATACATAAATAACGCCAAATACTTAGGAGGAGGAGGCAGGGAATTAGTTCTGCTAAACCTGGGCCAAGTGCTCCACCTTGTGTTCGTGCTCACAACACAGCTCAGAGCGAAGCTCCCGACGCCTGCTCCACACCTGCAGGTCCTGTGGCATAGCTTCTGATTCCTTCTGCCTGGGAGCAAGCGTTGTCCATGGTGCCGTAGGACTGCTGCTCCGCGGGGGCCAGCACCGTCCTTTCGGTGGGATGAGGACGCAAAACCTGGGGGACATACATCTGAAATCACAAGTGAAGGCTTTTAGTGGTCTCTCAAAGCACAGTGCTGGGATAACTCACCCAGGAGAATTTTTCCCCTTGTCACTCTTCTCTTCATCCTTTTCCCATTCTTCACCTTAACACCTCAGGCATTTTGCACCCTGCTGGAGGCTTCCTGGTGCAACTTGTCTGCACCTCTTGACTGTGGCACCAAGGCCTTTCCTTCTACCTCAGTCCTATGTCCTTCTCAGTGACATGGCAAGCAAGACCTGCTACATGTCACAACATTCAGAATCAAAGCAGTGGCAACTGACTGCATTTGGCAGCTGTTCAGATGTGAGGCTCTGTCTGGGGCAGGGCACAGAACACAGCACACAGAGCTGTGGAAGCAGTGTGTCTCAGCTGCTCCTAAAACAGCAGCTGAAGGTACTTCTGGAACACCACCTGGGAGCATCAAGGAGCCCAGCTGCAGAGCTCTCTGGTCCCACATGCACCTGGGAAATCCCACAATCCATGCAGACTAATATGTGCTACACAAGCTCTTTGGTAAGCAGGGTGAGAAATTAGTTTATTCTAGGAAATGCAAGGGAATATTAGTAACTCTTAGCTTCTTACAGAAGATGTAGGGACTGTTGGTACATCTGTGTCTTTTCCTCTTTCACCTTGTGTGTCTTCAATCTGTAACCAGCAATAGGTGGGGAAAGAGAGAGAGACAACATCAAACTGGTGAGTGGAAACAATACACACAGATCATGAGCACCCAAAACCTGCACAGACAGATCTCAGTGCAGTTCTGGCACTCTCTCCACCACTCCTTCTAAACAGAATCACAAAAAGGTTTGGCTTAGAAGGGCCCTTAGAGATCATCAAGCTCCAAGATCTAAGGGACACCTTCCACTAGACCAGGTTGCTCCAAGTTCCATCCACCCTGGCCTTGAACACTTTCAGGGATGAGCATCCACAACATCACTGAGCAACCTGTGCTAGTGCCTCAGCAATCTCACAGCAAAGAATTTCTTACTATTACCTAATCTAAACCTACTGTCAGTTTAAAGCCATTCTTCCTTGTCCTCTCACTACATGCTCTTGTAAAAAGTCTCTCTCCACCTTTTTTTGTAGGCTCCCTGAAAAGGAAGCCTTTTTTGGAAGGTTGCAATTAGGTCAGCCCACATCCTCCTCTTCTCCAGGCTGAACACCCCCAATTCTCTCAGTCTGGCCTCACAGCAGAGGTGTTCCACCCCTCTGATCATCTTGGTTGTATTCTCTGGATTTGCTCCAAGAGGTTCATGTCTTTCCTCATGCTGGAACCCCAGAGCTGGATGCAGCCCTTCAGGTGGGGTCTCTCCAGAGCAGAGGGGCAGAATCCTCTCCCTCAACCTGCTGGCCACACTGCTGGGGATGCAGCCAGTACTTCCATACTGCTCTTTTCTCTCAAATTCAGTTCCTGCAGACACAGAGACTTTCCACTCTGCCAAGCAGCCTACCTGTACACAGGCTCTATTCAGCAATCTCACCATGAATAGACACTGCCAGCAGGAAGGAAGGGACAACCCACCAGGAATAGCTGGTGCTCCATCAGGCACACAGGCAGGTGCTGAAGGGTCAGGTATCCATCACTTACCCTATAATTCAGTGGGCTCAGGTACTTGAAACAGCCAAAACAAGTGTAAGCCAAGCAAATAACAATAGTGATGTTGACAACCAGCAAGGTAAACATTGTGGTAGGTGCTTTAAAACCTAGAAAAATATCCAAAGAATACAGTAAAAAAAACACATAGCAGAAAAATCCAACAAAACCAAAAGAAGCCTTTATTTATCCTTCTCATTTTCAGAAGCCTCATGGATTTTTTTTTTTTTCTTAGAGGAATGGGCAGCCCACTTCCAGCAACAAACAAGAGAATATCATTATGTACTAAGTTCTCCCACTTTTCCTAGAGGCCAAGAAGTGTTACTGCAATACCTAAATGATAGACAAGACTCAGTGATTCTTCTCCTCCCTCATTCCTCCATTCTGGACCCACTTCTTAAGTACTTTCATTAATGATCTGTGAAATATAATATTAATTACATTGATTAATTAAGATGATGGCACCAAATTGGATGGTTTGCCATCAGCTCAAAGAGATGGAGGTGGGGCAACAGGAGAATCAAAATGGTCTTGGTAGATAAAACCATCCCACCTGCTTTTAAAGG